GTATTTGAGTTGCGCAAGAAATGTCTTGCTCTGGAGGCGAGGTTATCGATCTGCACGGAGACACCGTTAGGAACAGCGATGATCTTTTGGAGCAGCGAAACAGAAGAGAGAGCTAGAAGGACTCGAGAGGTCCAGGTCCTTTTTATTCTTCGATCATCTGCAATTTTTTCCCTTTCTTTTTTTCACTAAAGCGAGTTCTAGCTCTCGTTATTGGATCAGCTTGACACCAGGATCCACGATTTATCGGGAGCCAAGAACACGGGCTAGACTTGGTCGGGTCAAACGTCCTCGATTGAGCTGCCAGTGGCGTCTTGTTCGGTGGGGGAGGACGGCGGCTGCCGGGGGGTCAAAGCTCCCTTTGCAGGGGATGTTACAGTGCTTACAGAAGGGTGCCGACTACAGCAGATGGAGGAGCATGTGAAGAAAGGCACATCATGCATCTTACCTGTAAACGAATTCAGCTTGTAAAATTGAAGAAATGCGCTGAGAGTTGAGGGATATGGAACTCAATCGTCGATCTTTACTAACAATCAATGTTGTTGTGGCGTTTGGAGCTGACCTGAAGGAGGGCCAAGGCTTGTTCTTTGGTAGGGAAACGGGAATGAGATGAGGTGAGGATGGTGGGTAACCACGTGGGGGTAGGCCAGACAAATTGGCCGAAGCTATTTCATTGACTCGGTCTCGAATCATTTCTTTTGTCTTGGTCATATTCTGAGTAATAATTATAACAATATTCCCTTCCATTGGCATTTGACAGGCAAAATCAGTGTTTACCATTCACTCAATATGCAGTCCTTTAAAGTTGTGCGGAACGAGCCGCAGTCTGTCATCCGTGCGCGCTGTTAAAGCGGCGGCCAAGCTGAAATTCCCCGACCAGTCATGCAATTGCTGCAACCAAGTTGTTCTATCTAGACCTTCCGTGGATTTATGATACCGTGAAGCCAGCAGAGGGCTTATCAGTTAATCAACGAACTGTAGAAAGAATGAATTCTTCTCAGTTCCTACTAGCCTTTATGATTTGGAGAGGGCGTCAGACATGGCTGCTCGCACAGTTTTTGCTATCCATACGTTGGTTCTTGTTGTACTATCCGTTGCGGAACTTCTCTCTATTTCTTGTCAACTATGTCATAATTCTGGAACCTCTGCATAATAACATACGCGATATAAGTGACAGTTGAGAAGCCATCGAAGGTGCTGAGCTTGGCGCCAACGTTTCACGCTCTGGCAAAGCTGTAATCTCTTGAAACAAGAGATCAAAACAGTCCTTTTCTGAGTTGATGTTAAGATTTCGGGATATGTTGTCCGCACTCAGCTTCCCTATAGCGTGTTAGTGAGACGCCTTTGGTTGTTGATGTGTACCTTGTGGGCAGGTGTACCAGAATTTGCCGGCGAAGACCCCGAAGGATCAGTATTCGACATTTCTCTCTATAGCCACGGTTTGTCTCGTGCCCAGAGGCTATGAAGAGGTCAAAGTTTTCGGTGATGCATTTGCCTTGGTCTGGCCGGGACATGCAGATGCTCCGATGTCCGATATGCTGACACGACTAGACTCAGGTGGTTGAATGGATATTCATCAAGCAAAGTGTAGAGCCGGATTCTGAGGAGATATCAAAGATAAAGATCTGTGCGCTTTATAAGTTAAATACAGATCACAACTGAGACCCGGGCTTTAGACCGTCAACTTATACCGGCAACCGGGAGGCACAGCGGCCGGCGGTGGGGCCTCCGGCGCATCTCGTATTTCGTACCGGCGACCAAAGATCCACTGTAAGAAACATCCGACCTATCGTATGCTGCAGTGTCAGATGGAAGCTTGGCCTCGCGCTATTATACCAGATTCGGAGACTATTTAGCTTGGGTGTCGATAAGGATGTGCAAAGTACGGCCAGATCTTCCGGTGCAAGTTAACTAACAAGCTGACGATGAGGCTTATATGAGGGAGAATTGTTAGTTGTAGCCTCCGCTAGTCGACGGGAGTTCTTGTTAGTTGGGGTTTATGGCATCGCCTTGGCCTACAGGAGATGGTTGAGATGAGTTCAGTAATGGCAACTCGAGTATCCTCATGAGGCTATAGAACTTGTTGGGCATAAGTCTTCACCTGAACTCTCCCCCTTACATTCATATTTCTTCTCCACTGACTCAAGCCTTCCGGGCAAAATCAAGAAGCCCTTGGACTGAGTCCTCAGTCATTTCCTCATGACACCAGCTGAAACTCATGTCACGGGTTGAAGCCTTGGAATGCGCGTCCTCGTGGCCCAGGCAGCGGACCCGCTGATGTGCGCTATCGACTGGTCGTGACCCCTTGCGGGGAGCCATCCAACGCTTCCCATTCGCTGATAAGCTTCCATGCCAACGGTATCAACCAATCACGGCACTCGAAGCCTTGTTGTCCCTCAGGGTCCCCTCCAACGTCATTCTACCGTGCGCCGACCTTATCATGCCTCGTCCATTTGAGCCGAACTCGGCCGCCTTCTTTCTTCTTCATCCATCAAAACAAGGCGGTTTCACCCTCTTGTTCAACCACAATCAGTCTCTGTCTTGTCACATAACGCCACCATGATTCTCAGGAGTAAAACACTCGCTGCTGGTTCAGCGCTGGTCGCTGTAGCTTGTGCGTCGCAACCTGGAGCTATCGAGCCTATCCCGGGTCCCATGAGAGACCTTACTTGGGGCCAGCTCAACTTTATCCACACAACTGATACTCATGGCTGGATTGGCGGTCACTTTCAGGAGTATGTCTTACCTGGTCACTTTGATGAATCACAACTAACATCATAGGCCCCAATACTCTGCCGACTGGGGAGATTACATTTCCTTCACCAAGCATATGCGCAAGCAGGCCGATGAGCAAGGAAGCGACCTTCTAGTCATTGACACTGGCGATCGCATCGAAGGCAACGGCTTGTACGATGCATCCTCCCCCAAGGGTCTTTTCCAGTACGATATCTACGCCGAAGCCGACATCGACATCCTCTGCACTGGCAATCATGAACTCTACAAGGCCTACTCGGCTGATAAGGAGCACAACACCACCGTTCCAAACTACAAGGGCAAATATCTCGCTTCCAACCTAGACTATATCGACTTCAAGACTGGCGATCGTGTTCCCCAAGCTCAGCGCTACAAGAAGTTCAAGACAAAGAACCAGGGTCTCGAAATTGTAGCTTTTGGCTTCCTTTTCGACTTCACAGGAAATGCCAACAACACCGTTGTCCAGCCTGTGGAAGACACCATCAAGGAGGACTGGTTCCAAGAGGCTATTCGGGAGAAGCCGGATCTCTTTGTCGTCATCGGTCATGTTGGTCTTCGCATGGAGGAGTTCAAGGTCATCTTTACCGCCATTCGAAAACAGAACTGGCATATCCCCATTGCCTTCTTCGGCGGCCATGCACACGTTCGCGATGCTGTTCAGTACGATTCCAAGGCATTTGCGATAGCCAGTGGTCGATATTTTGAGACCATTGGATGGATGTCAATCGACGGGATCAGCAAGGGCGGCACTAAGGAGGTCGAGGCCGCTGCTTCGCCAACCTTTACTCGACGATACATCGATAACAACCTCTACGGCCTACACTACCACACCGGCCTGAACGAGTCTACCTTCCCCACTGCAGATGGCAAGAGAGTCACTCAGATGATCACTCGTGCTCGCAAGGCCCTTCAGCTCGACTACAAGTTTGGTTGTGCGCCAAAGACCCTCTGGATGACAAGAACCAAGCATACAGATGAGGACAGCATTTACTATTGGATCTCCAATCAGCTTTTGCCTGATATTATCACTCGCAAGGATCGCAAGGACAAGGCTAGACTGGCCATCTTCAACACCGGCGGTATTCGATTCGACATTTTCAAGGGCGGTTTCACGCGGGATAGCACGTACGCTGTTAGCCCCTTTACCAGCGGCTTCAGCTACATCCCCGACGTCCCGTACAAGGCTGCTTCCAAAGTTATCGACCTCTTGAACAGTGCCGGAAGGATCTTGTCAGAGAACGGTGCAGATGTTAAGTTCTTGGCTATGCCTGAGCAGGCATTCCCCGCTCCAGCCATGAAGGCTATGTTCGAGGCCAATAAGGAGGATGAGGACGAGAAGCGTCTTGAACTAAGGAATTTCCTTGACAAACCTGACCTGACCTCTGGATACACAACCAAAGACGATATCGGCACTGATGGTGATGACACTATTCATGAGCCTCTCAAGTTTTACGAACAACCCAACTGTATTCAAGCTGAGGTCAACATGCCTTCAAAGGGCGATCCGGAGACGGTTGACTTTGTCTTCCTTGACTTTATCCAGCCCTGGATCATCCCTGCCCTGAAGTTTGCTGGCGCAGGTGATTACAGTGATGCTGATGTTCAGCGATACATTGATGGTACTTTCACCTACCATATGGCGCAGTGGATTAGCAAGAACTGGCAGGGTGACTGCTAGATTATTGTGCACATAGAACAATTGGGATGCCCCATGGAGTTTTGACATTCGGGATAGCATAGGCAGTTAGAGCATACCTTTTTGGTCATCATTGAAATTAGATTGAATACAAGTAGTCATATACACCGCCCTTCGTTTCAGCATCAGTCGTGTCGAGTGGAGGTTTATTAGACCTTGGAGAACGTACTGGCACCTATATCTAGAGTCAGAAGTATTCTTCCTCCCTGAGGCGCCAGTTAGTAAAGGCAACCTAGTCAGGATATATTCAAGCACAGTCATGGTCCAGGCAAAGGTCAAAGGCAATGCAATAGATTGAAGTTGCAAGCTAAGTGCCTATATATATGTATGTATACCCAACCAGCTATGTTCCATATCTAATATTTGTTCTAAGGAAAGGACCTCATGCAAGGCATGAAAACAAGAAAAGACCAAATGCACAAGTTCAATCCCGATCCCATTCCAAACCCAACCTCAAAAGCCAGTATCAGACCAAGATAGAAGATGTTGTCGAGAGTCTCATCAAGCACCCAGTGACTCCCATAGCTATCAGGTCATAAGATCAAAAAACCGCTTAAGCCTTGGGGAACTTGAATCCAGGGGGGACACAGTAGGGGCTGCCGCTCGGCTTGTAGAAGACACAAGAGGTCTTGGGGGGGCAGACACCGGCAGCCTTTTTGAAAGGTCAGTGACTTTTGTCCTAGATGCAGAAGAGAGGGAAGTGGTGATGACTTACAACATACTTGCCGTTGACATCGCAGACCTGCCAGCCAGTCTTGTCAGGGGTGCAAGAGTAGGTTCCGGGCTTGCAGCCAGTGCTGGAAGCGTCGAGGGGAGTGGCAGCGGCCAAGGAGGCGAGAGCAGCGAGGGCGATGGTGAACTTCATGTTTGCGGTTGGTGGTTCTTGTAGGAAGAAAGATGTAGTAGAGCGAGAGTGTGTTTTGTAGCGAGAGAAGACAGTGTTTGAGTTGGTGAGGATGGAGAAGAAAGTTTGGGATCTGGAGGTTAGGAAGGGGAGTTTATATACTCGATTTCACCATGTATGTTGCCTTCTTCTCGAGTATCAAGTTTCTATTCTTACCTCACAGGTTCGACTTGACTTACACGAGCTGACGGTGGAGGCCATGCCCGGCCTCAGTCCTAGACTCATGCTATTTTGGTTCCATTTTCCCCGTGGAGAGACGGGAGATCGTCTTGCAATACGAGGCTTACTCTAGAATGTGACGATGCACAAGGCAGTCAGGCAGTCGGTCAGTCGGTCAGTCTGTTGACTTCCATTATTCTAGCTCGTTCGTACTAGTTTCTGTCAAATGGCAACGTTAACTTGTCAAGGGAGCTAGGCCGGGAGTGGCATATCGGACTCGCTTCTGGGTAAGCCACTTACACAACATCACTAGATAGTCACACGATCTGAGCTACCAGCCCTACGGATGTGGTGTTACAGGTATTTTCACGACGATACAGTGTTAAAGCCAGTACTAATTCTACGTCTGTATATCATCAAGAGCGTGATACGACACCGTGCCGAGGTCATGATATGATACTACAATAACCTCACAAAACAATATCATGAACTCAAATCATACAACACCAAAACAGTCAATACCCAGCGCCCATCCAACCAGAATCACTCCTCCTAAAAATAAATCCCGAAGCAACCTCCATCTCATTACCCCGCAAAAAGCAAAAGCCCAACTGCCCACAGCTTATTCGTCCCCAGAAGCCTCTTCTCGTGTTTGCCGAGGGTCCGGAGGAATTAATTACGTTCATTCGCAAAATATGATTGGAAAGCAAGAATAGATGCTCATTGATGTGGTCGCACGTTCAGCCTCGTGATCTTCTGAGAAAAACATGATTCGTTTGGCATGAGAGGTGTCAAAAGTGCATTGAGTAACCCGTGTATGCAAATACTTTCCCCAATCTCCCCACCGTCAGCTCAAAGTCCTAGACTTGAGTGAGAATAATCATGTTATACGAAGCATATGCAGAGCAAGTATATGTCTAGATGCAGGCAGTGATACGAGGAACAAAGCAGGGGAATCCATGTGCTTACTGTTCACCAATCACTTGCTGTCACCACCAACTTTCACGATATAATCAAAGCACGGCTTGTCGGCTCCCGCGTCTCTGTCTTGCAGTCCCGACGACGCCGTGGCGCCAAGCCCGGCGATGCTCCGCCTCCCGGGACTCGCGGAGATCCCGATCTCGGCCGTTTAAGCTGACAGATATAGCACGTGGCTTCTCGAGTTGGGGCATCTCATTTGGATCGTTAGATTGTGAGGCTGACACCTTTAGGCTAGCCACCTCCATCTGTCGACGGAAACAATCGTTAAAAATCACTGGCATGACGTGGATCAGTAGATACTTTGTTTCCATTTACAGCTCATAACCAAATGTTCTCCTCCCATTGGCCTGACCGTCGGCCGGGTCTAGTAATTAGCTCCAGATAATGACATGCCCTCTCTTGTTTTCATCCCCTTCAGCCCTCCCAAGTCCTGTTGATCTGTTTCCTCCTCACCTAGAACTTTGTTAGCCAAGATGTCACCATAAATGCGAGTGCGAATGTGGATATGCTTACCATCGGTGAGAGGAAGAGTACGCCGCCCAGCAGCGATACAACGGTCAAAACAAGTGTCACCTTGTTGAAGCCGTTTCCAAGAATATCGAATACACCGCTGGGTGCGACGCGTGTTCCAAAGACATCCACGCCGTAAGCAACAACCAGACTTGTGCTCTCCACAATGACTGGTGCTGTGAGAATGTCCTTGACACCCACCACATTTCGCTGATGAGAGATGACTGACCGAGGGTCAATCTCGATGCTGGGAGTGTATTGGATGAGACCCTCAGCTTCCTTCTCAGCTGGAGTTGAGTCACGGCCAACCGGGCGTCGGGCGTCGAGGACCTGGCGAGCCAGACCGGCGATGGAGTGGGTTTCAGGCAGGTAGCCAAGAACCTGTCGGTTTGAAATGCCTTGTCGTGTTTGTGTAACCGACAGCTTGTCGAGTGGCTGAGACAAAACATAAGCTTGCTCCTCAACCCAAGGCAGAGCAGGTCCAGTTGGTGTGTCAACAGGCTTGAGAGACGAAAAGTTGACAGCGTCGCCAAGAGGGCCGCGGTCGTTGGGAGAAGAAGACTCGTAGAGGTCAACGATGACAATCTGGTAGCCTTGGATAGATCGCTTGGTGCCATCCTCAAGGGTGTATCGGCCAAAGAAAGTGCAGGTGTACCAATTCTCAGCCATAGCACAAGAGATGGGCTTGGTAGCATCGACACCAGCATAGGACTGGGCAGCCAGAACCTGACCTGAGACAGTATCGAGCAGCTGAACAGACAGAGACGATTTTGCCTCGTCAATAGCAGCCACAACGATTGTGTTGGGGTTGAGGTACTTGTAGCTGACACGACGATCAGCCAGGACACGGCCAATAGAAGCGACAGGGTCGTGAGCAGCATGCTTAGCAATCTCCACGATCTTCTGACCACGGAAGAGCTGAAGCTGCCAGACTTCTTGCTCGGTGACCTTGTTGTTCTCCTCAACAAACTTGACACCCTTAAGAATCTCTCCCTCACCACGAACAACGACGGTCTCGCTGGGAGTGAAGCCGGCGGGAACAGGTCCGATCTCTCCGTTGGCACCAACAGGAAGCAACCACTTGCCAGCAGGGCTATCGACAACTACTGTGCTAGAAACACGGGGAAGCGAACCGGCAGGCATCACCTCGACAACATCGCCAGTGTCGCTCTTGATAGCGACGTACTCGCCCTTGGCGCCACGCAGAGTGACGACACCCTCATCCTTAGCATAGATACCCTTGATCTCAAGAGAGTCGCCGGGAAGTTGGGGAAGTACAGACTTGGACCAGATGACTTGACCTTTGTGCTCAGTGCTAAGACCATAAACACGACCGCGGCGAGTCGCAAGCACGATCAGCTTATTGAAGCCGAAAGTGTCGCGGTGCAGGCCCTCCTTCTTAGCAGCGGGCTCACCACCGAAGATGCTGGTGATGATTCGTTGAGGGAGAGATGCAAGGTAGTCAGGAAGGTATTGAAGGTCGTCGATATGTCGTGTAACACGGTGAATGTAGGCCGAGAGAGGGTTGGTGTGAGCCTCCTCCTCAAGAACCTTGGCGAGGTTCTCAGTACCGGGAATGTCAGCCCAGACAGCAGCAACAGCGCCGGAGAGACCCTCGGGTCGCTTCCAGTCAATTTCGCCGTTACGGACAAGAACCCAGTCATCTGACTTGGTGACAGCAGCAGCTCGGATAGCAAAGCCTTCAGTGCCAGGCTTCTTGAGGACCTCAGCAACAGCGTGAACAGCCTCGATATCGCCAGCGGGCTTGAAGGGCCATCGAGCCAGAACAGCGTGAGACTCGGATGAGACAACAAGAGTCTCATCCTCAGTGACGCGGGCGAAGTAAACGTTGGCTCCGTCAGAGCTGGTGGAAAAGGCACCAGGGCCAGAAAGGTGAGGAAGTTCGTAGGCCTTGGTAACCTGGCTGCTCTTCAAGTCGGTATGATAGACCTCGGCCTTGTTTCCGGTCTTGGTTCGGGTGTGGACAAGGAAATGAGGCTGGGACTGAACAAGGTGAGGCGCGTGAATAGTAACAGCGACAGCGTCGGAAGGTAGCTTGAGGTCCTGAGTCGTCTTGCTTCCCAGAACATTGACCTTGAGCTTAGTGAGGGTGCTATCGGCCCATGCGAGGATAGGGGCGGCAGAGTTGCCTCCAACAAACATGACGTCCTTGGGTCCATGGACGTCACCCTTAGTGCCAATGGCAAAGTCGTCCAGTCGTCCTCCTGTAAGAGTGTCGAGCGCAGTAACCTTGAGGCTGTAAGAAGCAGGCGATCCGTGAAGGCTGATAACGTAGATCTTGGAGATGTCGGTTGAGACCTGAAGAGGGATGTTCTTGGAGACCTCACGGAACTCCCAGATAACATTTCCCACAGTACCGTGTATGCGTCGTAGAACCGTAGTGCCATCCTCGTCATACAGAACCAAAACGTCCTTTCTCGAGCTCTCAGTAAGCTCCAGAATCTCAAGATCCTTAACCTCGCCCTTAAACTCATTATGCCACACATTTCGCCCCGTTAGCGCATCCCACGCCTGAACTCGCGATCCATACGCCGCAGCAACCCAATGCTCACCCTCAGCAGCGCGCAGGAAACCACCGCCATTGGTGATATCATCCGCGATCTGCTGACGCCAAACAACCTGGCCATTGCTGGGGTTGACGGCGCCGATGAGACCGACGTCGCTGAGAGTGTAAAGGAGGCTCGCCTTATCTTGCTTTCGTGGGCGATGGAAGAAGGTGGTTTCGACTTGGGGAACGCCGAGGAGCGCGTGATGGAAATCGATCTCGCCGACCTCGTCCTGGAAGACTGCGGCGCCGAGGGCCGAGAGCCCCAGGAGGAGCAATGGTTGGAGTGAGAGCCGCATGATTGTCGTTGAGGATGTTGTGCGGCTTCACGCTTGGGAGCTTCAGAGCTGCTTGCATCATGACGGCTAGCTTATCTGTTCGTTGCGCAATGCTTAGTCATCGAATAAGCCTAGGGTAGGTAATTTCCCGGTGTCATTCATACTTGGCCATGTAAAATTATAAAAGCGATAAAGTTATTTATTTCTGGACTTAATATCTACTCTTACTTTTAAAGTCCTGAATAGAGAACTGGGGCACTTTAGTGATCTTTGTTGTTCCCAAATCCAAGTCGTATCCTTGATGCTGGGTTCCAACATTTTCTGAGAGGGGAGTTTCCGCTGCAAGCAATCGGTTTAATCCGTACATATCTAATCATCTTATGGTTATGTCAAAGCTCAAGAAGAAATCATTTCAAGCTTTAAAATGTCCAATCTCATGGTGATTGAATCAGATAGTCTTGGTAAGTTTGCACGCGAACCTCTATCATGAGACCGCCCCGCGCGTGTGTAGATCCCGTGCCACTCACACAACCTCATGTCTCAAACCCACACTCTGTTGCTGCTACTACTTCCAAGCTTCGGACCAAAAAACGTACCCATCGAGACTGTCTCGGTAGTTTCTTTGTTTCAGGACACAGCTATGTCTCTCGATGCGTTCTCATGTAGTTGTCATGCGGATATACGCACAGAGATGCCATCATCGATATATCCGCGTGCCTAGGACAGGCCTTTCATAGTATATAGATATTAAAACCCGAAGACGAAGGAGATTTATGGGGGAAACTACCAATATTAGACTTGATATAGTGCCCTTGGTGATTGAGACTCAAGAGATGGTATATAACATGGAGGTTTGTCTTACATCTAGTGCCCGTAACTCCCACTTACATGAACAGCCTCGATCTCTAATTCCTTCATGGTCTACAACTCCCCTCCCAAACATAACTCTATCAGCTAGCGGTCTTCTCGTCCTCGCCGACCTTCGTACTATCTCCCGTCGCACTGCTCTCACCGGCGGCGCCTCATGGATCGACTCCCTAGTCCTCGCCCCAGGTTTACACTACCAACAAGCATGCGATGACCTCGAACGTGAAGCCCCCATTGGCTTAATAGCATTGTCCACCCAGACGCTCGGCCAGATACAATATGCTGTGAAGAATACTATGACTGCGAGTTATCTCAAGAGCCTTGTCAAAGACGGCGCTGAGAACATCATCACTCTGGATGTTGGATTAGACACCCCTTGGGATGTAGTCAAAATCGTGGGGAAAGTGATGAGAAAATCGAGGGTCTCGGATGAAGAAGACGACGATGAGGATCACGAAGACTGGGCTTCCCTCTCCGATGTCGACTGGCTCAGTCACCTCCTCTACCTAATCAGCCCCCTCATAACATCAACTTCCATAGCCTTCATGGTCATCTTCGAAGACTGGTGGGGTCTCGCCATTCTCCTCACTCTCGTCAGTTCTCGTATCCTCAATATCTGGGCCATCAAGCAACGCATGACGCACTCGGGACCGTCCCCAGAAAGTCTAACCATGACAGAATACACCGTCGATCTTGGTGGGGGACACAGCGTGCGACTGCGCGGCCCAGATGCAGACTTACAAGCTCTTGTTACTCATGCTTGGCTACGTACGCAGTCGAGTTTGGAGGGTTATCTTGAAGCAGCGGCTAAGTTGATGGTATACATGTCTGCTGCACTGGGAGGAAACATGACACAAGCGGGAGCGATTGTGCTCATTGGGCTACTACTTACCAGCGCCGCGCTATTGGGACTTAGTAATGCACATGCACGAGGCTTCCGCATGCATGGTCGCTATGCGATGCCCCAGCAAACGAAGATCAAGGCTGTGGAGGTTCACCGCAACAGTAGTACTTCGGTGGGAGAGGCGCAAACTGGATTGGTTTAGTAACCCGAGCTGAAACAATGAGAGATCGAGCCACAAGAAAAATTCTATACTGATATGTATAGGTGAACCATATACTTTATTGCCTGTTGTCCGTGAATTCATTAGAGCTATCTCCCCTACATGTTATACAATCTCCGACTCTTTCTGTTTGATCAGTTACACGGCCATTGGCTCTTCTAAAACCTCTCTGATCCCTTTCAACTAGCGTATCACTGGGCCCATGCAAGCCGTTCTAGTCTTGCGTTGGTTCTTGTTGTGTTTGCTGTTCCTCCGCCACTGAAGGTTCAGGAACTGCCGGGGCATCGATAGCAGGAGTCTCATCAATAGGAGGCTCAACAGCAGGCTCCTCGGTCTTCACCTCTTCAGTCTTAACTTCCTCGGTGACCATGGGCTCATCAACTGGTTCGGCTGGTGCCTCAGGTATCAATGCTGATTCAGGAGGAACATCAGCCGCCGGCTCTGTGACTGGTTCCGGAACGGGGTCTACCAGTGTTTCCGCAGGATGCTCAGTAGTAGATTCAGGAGCGGCCTCAGTGATAGGGTCCGCAGCAGTTTCAGGGGCAGATTCAGCAGTAGGCTCGGCGATTAGCTCAGACATGTGCTCAGAGACGGGTTCAGCAGCTGGCTCGATGACAGCCTCTGTAGGTACCTCTGCGGGCACCTCAGCAACAGGCTCTGGCGCCGATTCAGGTGCAGGTGCAGGTTCAGCCGATGCCTTTTGCTTCATACTCTCGATCTCTGCATGCTGCTCATCAAGTTTGTCCATCAGACTGGAAAGCAAATTAGGCGATTCCTCACGAAGAACTTCTTCAACTGCAGGAGGAGCAGACTCTTCCTTGATTTCAGGTTGAGGTGGGGTGGGCTCCTTAGTTTCTTCTAGGGCAGGCTCTTGGACAGCCTCTTCCATGGTGGTATCTTGCACGGTGGTTTCAGCAGGCGGCTCAGGTGGGGGATCAACAACTGATGGAGCTACTGCTGGGACATCTGTGATGTCAGAGATAGGAGCAGTGATAGAGGCTGAATCATCAGGTTTGATGCTATCCTCTGTCAACCCAGTTTCAGTTGTTATCAAAGGTGGCCGCTGTGTGGCTGCCTCCTCGCCAGCCTGGATATCTGTTGAGGGCTTGACTTCACTGCCGGGGCCAGAAGCACTAGGCTCACCAGAGCTTCCAGGAGGCGTGGTTGCAATATTGCCAACCTCTTCAGGTGGAGGAGGTAATAGTGCTTCGCTGTCGGTCGGCTCCAGCATGGGAACATCGCGATCAGTCGCAACCTCAGGGGCCTCTCCGACAATGGTAGACGGAGGCTCGGCTATGGTCGAATCCGCAGGTTCAACTACAGATGCGACCGCCAGTTGTGGTCCTGGCCCGAACGGAGCATCTATGGCCGCCTTCAATAGCTGTTCCTCCGCTGAACCGTGGGGTTCATCATCCTTGGTTGGTGGCTCAAGCGATGCCCGTGCGAGGTTCTCCTCAGTCAGTTCAGGCTCCACGGACTTTTCATCTCCCGCAAGAGGTGCATCTATCGCTGCCTTCAACAATTGCTCCTGATCCACCTCCTTGGTAGGCGAAGGCATAACCACGTTCTTAAGGGGGCTGCCTTCGAGTCTGGATCCACCAGGTGTGAGAGTAGTTGGAGGTGCCAGACCCATAGGGTTCGGTGGTACAGGCACGGGCGCAGATGAGTCGGTTTGCAAGAAAGCATCAGGCTCGTTGTTTTCAACAGGAGCTGGGAGAGACGCGGGTGCTGGTTCTGGCGCAGGGGGTGGAACTGGCGCTGCTTCGGTAGCTGTTGTGGGAGCCGCGTCTGTCATCTCGTGATCTTGTGACTTGTTGTTTTCACCATTTGCTTGACTCTCCGCAGCTGGTGTTGCCTCTCCTTCTTCGCCCTCGTCGCCCTCGTCATCATCCCCATCTTCATCGTCATCGTCGTCATCTGCATCCGGCATTGGACTATCCTGATTGGCAGAGTCTTCACGTTCCTGTTTGATAGCCTATTAAAATTAGCGATGGAGAACAGCACATCCACAGGCTCCAACGTACCGCTTCTGCAGGGTTCTCGGGCTTAATTGGAACAGCGGGCACAACACCATCTGCTCCAGCGACAGGCGCCGGCGCAGGAGCACTAGCATCAGGGAGAGGGTTTTTGATCTTCTTCTTTCCTCGGCCAGGACCAGCCTTGGCCTTTCTCTTGGGTGGTGGCGGCCTTCGTCGGTTGGGAACTGGTGTCGTAGCAAGTGGTTCAGAGCCAGCAACAGGTGCTTGTTCAATTCGTGTTGAAACGATTTCGCCCTGCACTTGTTGACCATCGGATAGCGTAACCTCTTCCGTATATGGATTTCCGGCGGCGTCAATTCTTCTGACAGTTGCCCTTGTAACCGTCGGTCCTTGAACCTTCTCTTCCACCGTTCGACTGGCGATCGTCACGGTGTTCTTCTGTCGTTTCGCAAGATGTGATGTACCAGGTGTATCGATATTACGAGGTAACTGCTTCCATACTTTCACGCTGAAACCTCGAGCACTTGTATCTTCTTCCTTCTTCTCTGGCTTCTCGGGGGCTGCATCGGCATCTACCTCCTCCTCCTCGGTTGGCGCAGGTCTTTTATATAGTCTTCCGGATCGCGCAGCCGCCAGAAGTTCCTGGCTGTGGGCTGGCAGTAGATGCGAGTCTTTCGGCATGCCGTGAGGTAAATCGATCGACCAGATATCATTCTGTTGGGTCTGTTCCTGCTGTTGCGGCGGCGCAACTTTTATCCATTCTTGTCGCCATTGTCGCACGGGAAGACCTTGGGTTAATTAGTACGCGTCGCAGCGCGCGATCGGTCATTTCGTACCTTCGAAGTCATCGTGCTCGGCGTATCCTGATCTGTTGGCGCGTCGCGTCTATACTAATTAGTCGATGGTTGCACAAGGGAAGCAGTGATTCACTCACTCCTGGCGCCATCGCGGCTGACTTATTACGGCGACTCTTATGATACTATAGCGATGATATAAAACTTTATTTTAACGTCGATTGGATTGCGCTGTGGTCTCGTAACAATATTGCCGTTGCAGCTTGGTTAACGAGGCTGAGTTGCGAGTCGCGATGGGCTGTCGAAGGTTGTTAGTTGGCCAATTGAAATTGGTGAGACCCGCTGACGTAATCTAACATCGAGAAGAATTGAAAATGATGGCCACTGAGGTTTAACCTCAAACAAGGATATGGCCCAATATATAGTATTATTTGTTCAAGGCAGCAATTGTGCCATTGAGGCAGAAAGACCTTATATGGTTTTGACTTCTGAAGTAATGACCTGCTATGAGGGTCTCATTGTTTTAAGTCTTCAGAGAAAAGTCAAAAGCTCGATATGATGGCCTTATACGAGGCCAACGACAGAGAGGGAGAATTATAAATAAAATAAAAATAATGGCAAATGTACAAAGCTAGGGAGACGAATGGATGTTAATTGACACTAGCACCGTTGGTACCGTTAGTTTCGAAGTTTTGGCAAGATATCTCAACAGATGGTGCTGCCAAAGCTCCGATTTTAAAACGTCTAGAGACTAAAAGCATTTGACACATAAACCAAAGATTAAGAGCCAAATATAATCAGAATTGAGATTCGCCATCTAGTATTCGAGCCGCACTGCCCATTCTCCAGTACCTCGAGACACCCCCTGGGCTCGCTGACGCCTTTGAACCTTTGTGGTATCCGATACATATACATTTATCCCCGTAACCATGCTACTGTACACACGAGTTGTCTCTTTTATCCTTTATCCAGTCGTTTCGAGATCGTTATGGTCAAATCGTTTAGTCGTAACTGCGTCAATTGTCAGTGATGAATGGTGGCTATAGCAGCTTTTTACATACCCCTGCTCCTTCTGCCTCAAAATCTCTTGATTGTTGCCCGTCTGCTTGCCCTGGTGCGGATATCAGTACGCTAGATATGTGATCTCAATGGACCTGACTAACCGAGATTCCACCCTCAACAACTAACCGGTCGAGTTGGTAGAACTGGCTGATGACTGTTTGGCGCTAATTTCTGTCAGCACTTCCCCCTCCCGGTAGCATCGTTGCCACACACCTTCAAGCTCTGAAGCTCCTTGATCCCATGCTGCACCAACTCCTGCACCTTCCGGCTATCCTGCTCGCCCTGATGCTCCCGGAAAGCATCTCTCGTCCGTCGCTTCGCATACTCTCGGAAGTTGTACGCAGCGAACTGCGAGCCTTGCCGTAATAATTGGCGGTACTGGATAAAATTCCCATCAGCAATTGTCGATATCAAGACTGCACGCTGATCTCTGCAAATTTCGGTGGCCGCAATGAGGGGCAGGACTCACGAGTGATCGGACTTGTTGCGGCATATCGCCTTTGAGTGTACCGACGACAGACATTTGGTGTATGTTGTAGGTTGGGGAAATCGACTAGATTGAAGATTCGCGACGGCTTAGAAAGTATCCGATGATGCAAGCATTTGACGCTGCGAGCTCGGTGTTAGTCGGCGCGGAGAAATTTGCCGCTCCGGCCGGTCTTTCCTTCACTCTAATTCGTACTGTACTAAGCCAGCATTTACTTGAAGTCGAGCACAGTGCTTAAAAGGCCATTGCTCTTCGGCATCATGCTCCGTAGATATCGGTGTATTATCAATCATTACGACGTGCATTTATGAAAGAGCTATTGGCAAATCTACAAGGAAATGACCTTGGTAGATGTCATCTTTACTAATGATATACTTACTGGAGAATACTGTATCGCGGTTACGTATGCCCACGATTTGGTATCCTGAACTACCTGTAGTACATACCAAGGACATGATCAGTATCTTCGGTGCTTCTCTGCTACCCTAGAGCATTGATGTTTTACCCGACTTTCGTAAATATGAGGGCATGTGTCACTGTCTCCTAGAAATGAGTGGTTTGGCTTCTATGCTTCAATACTTATTGAGGCTGAACTATCATTCAATGAATTCTTTGTGAATATAGGAAACTTGGAACATGACTTCAAGTCCACTCCTTCCAATACCTACATGGCATACCGACTTTAACCCTTCAAGCTGCTCAGAACCTCACCCAACTCATAAAAGCAAAGTTATTCGTGCAAAATCATATCATTCCAACTCATATTTCACTGATGCCTCACCGCAGCTACTCCTATCCCTCGCATCCAATCCCTACGGGCATATCCGCCATCTGTCTTAAACCCTTAAGCTGAAATTACCTCTCCTTGCAGCGGGTTCTTGATCATGTCCGAGAACAACTGCAAGCAATGGGCTAGAATATAGAATACAAGCATGGAAACAAAACCGCAGTGATGATCTCTTCTCTCGCGCGTGTTGTCTCGGGCTTAGGAGCCGTTCCTGTCGGATACTATTCCGCGTCGTGGCGGTCGGGAGGTACGATAACAAGACATATGCAAGGGACTAAGAATGAACCAATGTCAAAAGCATCATCAGTCGCATGTAACGAAAAAGTTTCAATTTGGATGACGATAATGTTATGATCAATCAGAAAACCTCAGCTGGGTCAGTATCGGGTAGTGTCATTTCCCCAGCAAATACGACTGCATGTCCCTCCCGATATGGTCAAGTTTATTTAAACGACGAGCCCGTTTATCGGATCTGGGTGAACGATTCTACCTAGTGAAGTGGCAGATGTTACACTCGCAGAGGGTATCGGAACCCCTTGCATGAGAAATCAAGACTAGCAACCACAGCATTTATCATCTGCATTAGAGAATCCCTTGCGTCAAGCAAGAAACGAAACTGAAATGCAGCCACACTTTGCTGCAAGAACTTTTTCACTACGATGCACGTTACTCCGAACCGGTGAGATGCAACTCCAGGTGCGGGTTATGGCAGCCACCACGAATTCAGTCTCCAAACAAGGAAGTAAAGCTGAGAATGCTTCTCCCAGAGAATGTGAGTTGTGACACATGTGCAACCTGCTGTACGCTTTGACATATTTCTCGGGAGGACCAAGTTGGTAGGAGGAGTGAACGAGGCCAGCAACGTGAGTTGTACAACTTGTAACATAGGACATGCTAGAGCGTTGAGGCTGAGAAAAGAGACGGGAAGCAACATGAACTAATCCAAAACGAGGTTCGACGGTGGTTGCTTTATGTGTGCTCTCAGGAGATTACACATTAGAGTATTTGGGAAGCTAAATGTTGTAAGGGTGTGCGCTTGCGGCAGATATCTAACTAATCGGGTCTTGGAGCAGGTTGCAGCTGTTTATGATGGCACGGAACTGTGCGTCCTGTCTAGCAAGTTCGTCATCTTGTTGGGTCTCTGGTGGATTTGTCACAGATGAGATTGCTGCCTCAAGAGTTTCCGATGGGATCCCACTCGTCTCAAGCAGCTGATTGAGCTTTGTATGCTCCCCCAGATCCGTGGTAAGCTGGGCCGTAAAGTTGTACCGCTTTAGGCTCTGGTTCGGTTTCACAATGGATATCGCCTTTGTTGGTTGCTCAGTTGATAGCGGAGGTATGAAACACAGGTTGGTGACAGAAGCATTTAGATTCGCAACGTCTGTAGAATGGCCGTTTTCGGCCAGACTCCACCGTAGAATCTTGCCCTTGGTGTGTCCGGACAATATCGAAGTGCCGTCATATGTCAGAGCAAGGCATGATGGCTGTCCAACTTCTGGATCCGAAACAGCAAGCGGGGTGTTGATTTGCACGACAATAGACGGTAGCTCTGTGCTGCGGGAACCAAGCAACGGCTTGTACCCACCGAATAGCTCGACAAGGTAGACAGCACCGGCCTCAGAAGACACGAAGAGTGCCCTGGCACTTGGGTCCAGACGGGCGCAGAGAGGGAAGGCTGGGAAGAGCAGTGTACGGAGAAGCTGGCCGGTCTGGTAGTTCCAGATGATGCATGTCTTGTCCTTACTGGCAGACACGCATATGCTGGTTTCCGGGTTGGTACCAGGACCGACAGTTAGACTTGTGATAGCACCACGATGATTGGAGAGGGTTAGATCAGGCTCTTGTTCCGACTGAGCATCGAGCTCCAGAAGTCGTGATATTGACCAAACGTTAATGTTTGAGTCATCAGAACCGGACAGAATGTGATATGGCGTCACGGCCAAGCAAGAAACGGCTTGAACATGGCAAGGTGGTGTTGACACTAGCCGGCCTGTGCACGTCTATATCACTTGTCAGTATTCACATTCGAAAATAGCATTACGCATACAAGGTAGCACTCGCAACGGCGTGAGTGAGACTGAACTAACCTCCCAGAGAAATAGTCTGCCCTCGGTAGAGCCCACGACTAACACTTGGCCAGCAAGGGCCAAGCTGCGGATCCTCTCAGGGAACGGCACGAGAGCCTCCTGGTTGCCGCGTATACGCGAGTAGACGTGGACATGTGCCTTCTGGTCTTGTGCCGCAAAAATATGAGACTCACTGACGGCTAGGCCGTTGACAGGGGTGGAACTCTTCTTGAAAGATGCCTTGATGGTGTGGGATGGTGTAAGGGAGTGAGAGTAGATGCCGACGTCCTTGGAAATGGCTGTGTTGGCAGCGAGAGGAGGGCCGCAGATGGTCGAAACGAACTCCTGGGTCAGCATTGTCTTTGGCTGCCGTTGACGAATGTCTTTTTCGGATTTAATGAGATGGTTTTCACCAAGAGCTCTGCTGGGCTTTCAACTAAGGAATGTTTGTTGGCCCAAAGTCTGGTAATGGTTGCTGCAAAGCGCCCGAGGAGTCGGGATCAGCCAATTCACAAAGACAGTTGGTCCTAAATCCCGCAATGGACCATGCGTTCGGGAGACTTGGAAGTGTTGTAGAACAAGCAAACAAAGATGGTGCTTGTGGTGGTGTAGACTGAAGCGATGGCGGGCAAAACCAACAGGCACTTATAACTGCACCTAAAAATCTAGGTGGTGTTGAGTAGCTGACCAATCAGAGCTCGTCTTTCACTTTTTTTCAATGGCTTTTTTTCTCTTCGTATTGTGAAGGGTCCAGGTTGGTCCAGGTCAAGTTCTAGGTCTAGGAACTTTTCAAGATGAGACTAAGACCAGACGAGACGAGACGAGGCCTAATGAAGGAGATCTACTGTCTCTGAAAAAGCCGAAACAAAATTGCTGGGATCGTTGCAGAAAGAAAGAACTTTTCTTTGTGTTTGTTTGCTCAGTCGAAGCACAAGCTTTGACCCTTTCTTTTCGTCTGTAGCCGCAAAGTTTTGATTGCTTTTTTGGTGGATCCCGTCCGTTCTCTTTGCGCCAAATGCAGCCGCGGGCGGTGAGCGCCTGATTCTGATTCTGTAGATTAGCGCGGTGGACAGTGCACGAGTCCCCTAGAAATGTCACCATGTATCCATAATTCAGGTACCATCAACGATTGATAGATCCAATTCTCCGGCTTCAGCTTGAATATTGACAATATTGGCCGTAGCTTCAGTTGATTTCGATTAAAGATGTATTGAATTATTGCTATCGAGGCTAGATCAAAGCCTGTTCACGAGCAGTCAGAACTATCGACTATAGTTGAGCTCCACTGTCTCAGCTGCCACCCAGTACGGAGTAACTTACAGCTGTTTCCTCTGAATCTGCACTGAAGCCCTGGAAGACGGTCCCTACCTGCTTCAAACTTAATTGCTTTTTGCTTCTCGCATCATCATCGACCATCCAGTCTCTCCCTCAACGATTGACATCACTCCCTTGCTTCATGTGCTCCACTCTAATGAAATGTCTTGCCGACCGTTAGTTACACAGAGAATGGTCCTCTTTTCTTGTTCTTGCTTCTCTTCCTCTCATTGAGAGTTAGCCTGTGGACACTATCACATACCAGACTAAGCCCATTGTCAACTGGGTGATGATTCCAGTTTTGATCATCAAATTGACATCAGCAACAGTTCGATAGAGCCACATTTTCCTCATTCGATCTCCTGCATGAGAACGCATGGCCTAGGCTTGAAAGTGATATCACTTCTCGCCCAACCCATCTCATCTCGTCACCTTTCGCTTCCAGCACGTGCAGACGATAACCATGTGGTGACCGATAAGCGTAACGCATACACGCATGCCTGACCCAGTTCTAATGATCTCCCTTACATGTGCGGATCAGGGACCCTCTCACACTACCCTGTCTTGCCCTGTCCTGACTCCTGTCAAGTCTGTCATAATCTGATCCTGGCCTGCTTGGGTTCTCCGCATCTCCATCCGTCCCCTGGCTATTTCTCATTATCGTCTCCCTGCTTACAGATCCGAGTCTTCCCCGGCGGAATCGCTTATTGATGACAGCTCTCAGGAGAGCTCTGCTCTATCTTGACCATTTTGGGGTCGAGACCTGACAATGGGGATCAGAGTTTAGCTTACATACCAGTCTTCCGTTTCAGCCACGGTGCTATCACAACAATGCCGCTAAACTGGCCAAGGTGCTTACTGCCTGACTA